GTATGATTCCAGAGATAATGACATGTCCAGAACAGGCATAGAGACTGGAGCACTGGTGGTGTAGGGGTTAAGGTATTTGACTACTAACCAAAAGGTTGGTGGTTTAAGCCCACCAGCTGCTCTGCAGGAAAAAGATGAGGCATTCTGCTTCCGTAAAGATTTAAATCCTTGGAAACCCAATGGGGATCTCTATGAGTCGTAATCTACTCGATGTTGTTGTTTGTTGTTATGTGCCATCGAGTTGGTTTTCGAGGCAGTATCACTACGGAAGTAGATTGCCCTATCTTTCTTCTGAGGAGTGGCTGGTGGGTTTTTTGAGTAAAGAGACAGAAAGTAGATTAGCTGTTGCCTGGAGGTGGGAAAGGAGCTCTGGTAGCATAGTGCCTAAGGCACTTGACTGCTAACCAGAAGGCTGGCGGTTCAAACCCACCAGCCACTCCTCGGAAGGAAGATGGGGCAATCTACTTCCATAGAGATACCGCCTTGGAAACCCAAAGAAGGGTCACTATGAGTTGGGTCCAACTTGACGGCAGTCAATTTGGTTTTGTTTTTGGAGGTGGGAAGTAGTGGGAAGCCACAGGGATGGGGTGGAGAGGTGTGTGTGTATCTATCGAGTGCTAATGGGTTCAGGTTTACTTTTCTGGGTGTTGAAAATATTCTAAACTTGATCGTGGTGATGGTTGTACGATTATGTGACTCTGCCAAAAGCTGTTGAATTGTACAGTTTAAATGGATGAATTGTGCGACAAGTGAAATTATATCTTGTACATAAAATACGAAAACAAAAGTAATTGTCCATTGTCTCAGACCTGTGCTGTGTTCTGTGAATATTGTCGCTCAGAGTTTTGATCTTGCGTGAATGTAATCAAGAAACACGAACTGAACGTCAGCAAATACTGCTGGGCATAGCCTATGATCCTTGACCAATGCATGTCTGTACATGCCTCCTCTTTTCTCTGAGGGCTCAGAAGAGAGGTCTCTGCAGCAGACGCAGGTGCTGAGGCAGGCAATGTCTGGAGGAGTGGGGAAGGGCCCAGACGCTGGGACTCGATGTTCCAAAGCTGTGTCCTCTGCTTGTACACAGGGAACCATAGTGGATGTGGGGTTGGAGTGCTTTTTCATCTGAGACAGGATACATTTCCCTGGATGCCAGCAAAGGCATTGTTCCTCATGCTTAACCTCATTTGTTGTCGTTTGAACCCACCGTGTTAGTTTTGCTAATGTTTGTTCATTCGTTAAATAAATACTGATATTCGGGAAAGCTAAAACTGAAAAAAAAAATTTGAATGATGTTTAACAGTTTATTTGTATAATTAGTTTAATATTACATCCTTTCAAAACCAGCCTCAGAGTATGAGGCGGGTGATAAGTCCCTAGAGACTTTTAGCCAGGGCTTTTCAATTTTACTAGGAGCTCTGGTGATGCAGTGCATAAAGCATTTGACTGCAAACCAGAAGGTTGGGGGTTCAAACCCACCAGCTGCTCCGTGGAAGGAAGATCATCAGAAGGAAGATGAGGCAGTCTACTTGTGTAAAGATTTACCACGTGGGAAACTCAGTGGGGGTTGTACAATGGCAGTGGGTTTGGTTTGGTTGGGTTTCAGTTTTACGAACTTTCTTCTTGTGTGACCACATTTCTGCAGAGAAGGCAAAGAGTTGAAACTCATTCTATAGACAGGAAGATTGAAGCTTCAAGGAAACAAGCAAATTACATATCGCTTTCTGAACAAATGCTGTCAGCCCCAGGCACAAGCTGGGCATTTTTCTTCCTGGTGCCACTCCCAATTTCTGTAGCCTTGGGCCAGTTGCTGTCGAGTTGATTCTGACCCGTGGCGTCCCCGTGTATATCGGAGTAGAACTGTGCTCTGTGGGACTTTCGGTGGCTAATTTTTCAGAAGCAGATCAGGTCACCAGGCCTTTCTTCCAAGGCACCTCTGAGTGGCCTGGAACCTCCAACCTTTCAGTCAGCAGCCACCTCACTCTGTCAGAGGTCATCTGCCACCCACAGGCTCAACCCCAAGAGGATCCCAGCTGCTTTCTCCGCAGTAGCAAGTTGGGTGTCAGAATCGTCTGCCCTCGCTCCAGGCCCACAATCTGGGTTTTCTGGATCATCATTATTAGAAGCAACAAAGAGCCGGCAGGGGCAGGTTGTCCCCTTAGCTCCAGGTCTCCTTAGTGGAGAGGGGCTACTGCACTGGAACCAGACAGAGGAGGTTGTAGGCCAACTGATCACACTCTGGAAAAAACAGTAGTGGCAATCACATCAAATAATTATTTAGAGCTTGCTGTGGCCTAGGAGCTCTGGTGGCATAGCTCCTAAGGCATTTGACTGCTAACCAGAAGACTGGTGGTTGAATCCACCAGCCATTCGTTGGAAGGAAGGTTGGACAATCTACTAACCAGCCAGTTGTTCCTTTGTCCCTAGGTACATTCAACAACTGTAAGCCAGTTACTTAACTTCTCTCACCCCCATCGTTCTCATGTGCAAACTTACGGCCTAATAATATTGCCAACCTTGGAAGAATTAAAGTGCACTGCATGTAAAGTACCTAGCAAAGTGTCTAGTCATAAACCCTACAGCCTCATAACGTCCCTAGAGGACAAAGTGAAAGTGCCCCATAGGATTTCCAAGGCTGTCAATCTTTACTGAAGAAAAGCCCAAACCAAACCCACAGCCAGAGTCAATTCTTGCTCACAGCACCCCTAGAGGACAGACTAGAACTGTTGCATATGGTTTCCAAGGTTGTCAGTCTTTATGGAAGCAAAGCCCAAAGCAAACTCATTGCCTCAAGTTGATTCCAACTCACAGCACCCCTAGGGAACAGAGTAGAACAGCCCCATAGGATTTCCAAGGCTGTAAATCTTTATGGAAGCAAGTTCAATGGTTTAACCACTGAACAACCAGACCTCCTAGCCCATAACCTCCATTGTCACGTTGGATTTGACTCATAGCTACCCCTCCTTGGGTTTCTGAGGCAGTATCACTAGGGAAGTAGATTCCCCAATCTTCCTTCCAAGGAGTGGCTGGAGGATTTGAACCACCAGCCTTCTGGTTAGCAGTCAAATGCCTTAGGCACTATGCCGCCAGAGCTCCTAGCCCATAGTAAGCTCTAAATAATTATTTGATGTGATTGCCGCTACTGTTTTTTCCAGAACATGATCAGTTGACCTACAACTACTTCTGCTTGGCTCCAGTGCACTAACCCCTCTCCACTAAGGGGAGCTGGAGCTAAAGGGACAACCTGGCTCCTGCCAGCTCTTTGTTGCTTCTAATAATGATGATCCAGAAAACCCAACACAGTTGCCATCAAGTCGATTTCAATTCGTAGTGACCCCATGTGTGTCAGAGTAGACCTGTGCCCCACAGGGCTTGCAGTGGCTTGGTTCTCAGAAGCAGGTTGCCAGTCCTTTCTTCTGATGCACCTCTGGATGGGCTCAAGCTTTCATCCGTTTGGTCAGAAGCTGAGCCCTTCACCGTTTGTACCACTCAGGGACTCAGCAATAATGTGAGCTAATAACATTGATTGTGCACTTCACACGGATTCAGTCACCAAAACCACTCAGAGAAGTGGGCATTACTACTGTCCCCTAGGCCTGGAAATCTGCTTTCAAAAGGTCAGTGCAGTTCTACTCTGCACATGTAGGGTCGGCATCGGTTCAAATCCACTCAAAGCCACTAAAACCACAAAGTGATCATTTCTAGGTGGGTCAACTCTACTCTGCATGCTTGGGGTCACTGTGAGTCAGAACTGACTCGAGGCAACTAACAACAACAACAGCACCTCATTTATATGGTATTTTGAAGTTTAAATTGTAGCAGAAAAGCCAGAGGACTGATTTCATATTCCCTCACCAGCAGCCTGACCCCAGTGTAGGGAAAGTGTGGGCTGAGTAAAATCTGCAACGTTGTATTAAGTGGAATTGGTATTTATCAAGTTCCCACAACAGGCTCAGGAGGGCTTTTTCAGGGATGTGTCTATGTAAGAAAGGAGCTCTGATGGTGCAGTGGTTAAAGCATCCCTGGTAACCAAAAGGTTGGTGGTTCAAACCTAACAGCCGCTCTGTGCGGAACCAATGAGGTAGTCACCTTGATTAAAGATTGACAGCCTTGGAAACCCTGTGGGGCAGTTCCACTCTGTCCTCTAGGGCATCTATGAGTCAGAATGGACTCCACGGCAGTGGGTGTGGTTAGGGCTTTGCTTCTGTAAAGATGACAGCCTTGGAAACCCTGTGGGGCAGTTCTATATTCTGTCCTATAGAGTTGCTGTGAGTCAGAATTGACTTAATGGCAGTGGGTTTGGTTTGGGTTTGTCTGTGTAAGGTATCACAATGCTAGAAGCTATGCCACTAATATTACAGATACCAGCAGAGTCACCCATGGTGGACAGGTTTCAGTGGAGCTTCCAGACTGAGTCAAGCTGTGAAAAAAAGGCCTGACAATCTACCTCCAAAAGTCAACCAAGGAAAACTGTATACTTCATAATAGAAGATTATCCAATATGGTGCTGAAAGATGAGCCCCCTAGGTTGGAAAACTCAAAAAAACCAAAGCCACTGCCATTGAGTCAGTTCCAACTCATAGTGACCCCCATTGGGTTTCCAAGGTGGTAAATCTTTACAGAAGTAGATTGCCCCATCTTCCTTCTGCAGAGTGGCTGGTGGGTTTGAACTAGCAACCTTCTAGGTAGCAGTCCAATGCCTTAGGCTAGAAGCCACTCAGAATACACAGCAGCTGCGACAGCAGACTGGAACAGACCAGTGGTGGTGGAGATGGCGCGGGACCGGGCACCCTTTCCTTCTCCTGTACACGGAGTCACCGTGATTCAGAGCTGGCTAGAGGGCCACTATCAGCACCAACATTATATTTAACACTTTTGAGTCCATTTTTTCCAAACAATAGAATTGTTAATGGTGACTGCCCATCATTTATGACGCTAATCTGTTTGCTCAGCTGTGAGCGTAGATGAAAGCACTAACAGGATTATTTTCCTTTATCTTCTAGGTTTTATAGGAAGACAAAGCTGGTTGGTTTCCAGGACATGGAGTGCGTGCCTTGTGGAGATCCTCCTCCCCCTTACGAACCACACTGTGAGTGAACTTTACCCCACAGCAGATTGGACTCTTGGCTTTTCCTTTTCTTTTTCTTTGAACCTTTCTTCAGTTGGCCAAGGAAGTAGGCTCTGTCTGCCTGAGGGTTGCAGATGCACCCCTGGCTCCAGCTTGCCAGCAGGACACAAGGCCTTTGATTATGGGCTCTGTCAGCACCTTGTGCTCATGGTTTGAATCACAATGAAATACAGACATCTGCAGCACACCATCCAGTTCTTACCATTTATTCTAGATCTCTAACTCAGACACCTCAAGAGAAACAGATGTTCTACATCATGATGTCTTTGTGCCATGGACTCATGGGACTAACAAAAAAAAATCAACAAACCAACCAATGGCTGACAATCCAGTTGACTCCAGCCCATGGTTGACCCCCATGTGTGTCAGTAGGACTGGCCTCTATAGAGTTTTCAGTGGCTGGTTTTTCAGAAGTAGATCCCCAGGCCTTTCTTCTGAGGGACCTCTCAGTGGACTTGAACCTACAGCCTTTGGGTTAGTAGCCAAGCATGGTAACTGTTTGCTCCTATGGCCCCACCAACACCATATAACTGTTTGCACTTCGTAATCGCTGGACAGTGTTCTGTGTTGGCTTCTCGACCTTTCCGGAGACCTTTCTGTAGATAAAGCCCTCTCCCTGACATATTTGTTAGTGAAATACGTCATTGGAGTATGAAATCTGAGTTACTTCACTCATTTATTCTGTTTCTCTTTCAAGCAATAGATGAGAACCCAGTGCATGCTGGGATACCACTGTGATACCATTGTAATGAGAAAACTGGGCCGTTTCCACTGTAGATTCACACTAGTTATTCTTTGACCGTAGTTTTCCTTAGGTAGAAAAGGAATTTGTCACAAGTTGTTGCCAGCCTCTTTTATGGGAAGAAGTAGGGCTCCTCACTCATCTCCATCTTACATACAGACCTGATGGAGGCCCAAAGGTCATGGGACAGACAGGGAATGGGCAAGGACCTCCTCATAAGCTGTTCTCTGGACAGTCTCCTCTGGACTCAGCAGGGTTCCGGTCAGCTGCATTTACACGCACGCAAGAACCAGCCACGAGCAGGAGCGAGGATGCAGGAAGGTGTTTATGCCATGCACTGGTTGCTGATGCCTTCCTGGAAGGACCGGTAACATACTCATTGCCATCAAGTAGATTCCGTCTCCTTGCGAGCCCCATTGGGTTTCCAAGGCTGTAAATCTTTGCATAAGCAGACTGCCTCATCTTCCTGCTGCAGAGCGGCTGATGGGTTTGAACCATCAACCTTCTAGTAAGCTATCGAATGCCTTACACAGTGTGCCACCAGAGCTCCTTCATAAACCCACACCCACTGCCATCGAGTCAGTTGTGACTCATAGTCACCTGCACTGGGTTTCCAAGGCAGTAAATCTTTATGGAAGTAGATTGTCCAGTCTTCCTTCCATGGAGTGGCTGGTGGGTTTGAACCACCAAGCCTTCTGCTTAGTAGTCAGATGCCACCAGAGCTCCTTCATAGCTGTTTATATTTAGGAGTTGCTTTTATGTAATTTTCAGTACATGGTGTCTTAGCTTCCTAGAGCTATTATAACACAGATGTCACAAGTGATTGGCTTAAAAGAGCAGAAATATATTTTCGTACTGTTCTACAGGCTAGGAGTCTGAATTCAGAGTCTTTGGGATGTTCATATAGCATTTGCCTACCCCACCACCACCACCTCGTTTGTACTTTTTCCTGTCTCCTTGGCTCTTTTCATAACTCAAGTGCTTAGTTCAAGACCCACCCTATACTGTAAGGCTCATGAACATGACAGAGAAAGCACTCTTCCCAAATAGGATCACATGTACAGGTAGAGGGATGAGGATGCCGACACGTATTTTGTGGGGACACAGTTCGGTCTGTAACACATGGGATCTGGCCTCTTGCTTCTGTCTCTGGCAAAAGTCCTCTCTGAACTCACTGAAGTGTTTGCATTTTTTGATAAAGTCACATCCTGCTTCTTTTTCCAGGAATATCATAGAATGGTCATGGAAGCTCTGGTGGTGTAGTGCCTAAGCCACTTGACTGCTAACCAGAACGCTGGCAGTTCAAACCCACCAGCCACTCCTTGGAAGGAAGGTTGGGCAATCTACTTCCTTAGTGATACCTCCTCAGAAACCCAAGGGGGGTTGTCTCTATGAGTTAGGTCCAACTCGACGGCACATAACAACAACATAACAACATAGAATGATCCAGCCCACTTCATTTTGCCCTTTACCAAACAGCATTGCTTTCTCTTTCTCCTGTGAAGTGACCAAAGAGAAAAACAATTAAAGACTCTTTATAATTTTTACAGAAATGTTCACTGACCGTCATTTTTCTGATATGTAAGTAAGTCATTGCAATTAGCAAATGCGCTATTGCATGCCTGTTGCATATTCAGGAGCTCTGGTGATGCAGCGCCTAAGGCATTTGACTGCTAACCAGAAGGTTGATGGTTCAAACCCACCAGCTGCTCCACAGAAGGAAGATGGGGCAACCTACTTCCATAAAGATTTACCACCTCAGAAACCCAATGGGGATCGCTATGAGGCGAAGTCAACTCAATAGCAGTGAGTTTGGGTTTTGTTTGTTTGTTTGTTTCAGTGGCATACTGGTTAAGCACTCATCTGCAAACGAGAAGGTCAGCAGTTTGAACCCACCAACCACTCTGTGGGAGGAAGATGAGGCAGTCAGCTTCCAGAAAGGTTATAGCCTTGGAAACCAAACCCAGTGGGGCAGTTCTGCTCTGTCCTATCAGGTCGCTATGAGTCGGAACCGACTCCATGGCAATGGGTTAGTTGTTGGTTGGTTATGTATTAGTCAGACTACAGGTGCTTCACCTGTTTTGTTTTACATAATTTTCTCTCTTCTCCTGTCACTAGCCCACATTCATCAATGAACACTCTGAGTCCACAAATGCTCCCTTTGCTGGCTGGTCAATGGCAGAGACAACATCTGTGTTAGATTGGGTTCTCTAGAGAAACACAAAAACCAGCAAAGTGTATATATATATTTATAGAGAGAGAGAGAGAGAAATTTATCTTAGGAAAATGGCTCACAAGCGTATAGAAGCCAACAAGTCCAAGCCGACAAGTCCAAGTCTCTGGAGGAAAATGGACTGGAGGCAGCTTTAGCTTCCGTAAGCACAGGGGGCCGAGAAATTCAAGGCTGGCAGGCAGTATGCTGGTTGTTGACTCCGACAAAAGATGAATCCAAGATCTCCAGGCCGAGTGGTGGGCTGCTCACTCACGGAAGTATGTAGTCCGCACACCAGGGTTCCAATCCCTCCAGGAATGTGTCTCTTCCCAGGATGTCCCTGGTTATCTTGGAAGCAGGCCACACCCCTAGGGAAACTCCCCTTGGGCAGACTGGCCACTCAGAACACAGTCATCTGATCCCATCATGGGAACAACCATGCAGAACTGGAGTCCAGCCAAGTTGACACACAGCTCCAGCTATCACAACATCCAAACTCTGGTGTGTGTGACTCCAAATGTTATGCTCTTTGCACCACGCTCTACTGCCTGTACCAAAAATCAAACTAATCCACCCTCAGTTGGCTAATACCATAGCCTACATGTTGACTTTTTCTTGTATGTTGTTGTTGGGAGCTCTGGTGGCGTAGTGCCTAAGGCATTTGACTGCTAATCAGAAGGCTGGCGGTTCAAACCCACCAGCCACTCCTCGGAAGGAAGGTTGGGCAATCTATTTCCGTAGTGATACTGTCTTATGAAGTCCTTTGTTGTTGTTATGTGCCATTGCGTCAGACCCGACTCATAGTGACCCCTCGGGTTTCCAAAGCAGTATCACTATGGAAGTAGATTGCCCAACCTTCCTTCCAAGGAGTGGCTGGTGGGTTTAAATCGCCAGCCTTCTGGTTAGCAGTCAATGCCTTAGGCACTAGGCTACCTGAGCTCCCATGAAGTACTTTAGCAAACTATAATTTTTAAATGGAAGTTAACTCATTTGATGGATAGATAGATTGATAAAGATAAATGAATATACATTTCTTCTATATGAGAGTTTCAAAAGCAAAGGAAAATAAAGTATTTGCCAGTGTCGGAGATGCAGTTTATTCAGGCCATAGAGCAGGACAGTCTGGGGTCTTTCGTGAGCAGTAAGCCTTATCTCTACAAAGAAAAATTTGCTGCCTTTGGCACAGTTCTTGGAAATCATTCAGAACATAACTAATCCCTTCCAGAGAGATCTTGAAGTCTTTTGGGGCTGTTTTGTAAGGCGCCATATGTTTTCATTTCTTCTCTACTTTGGGCTTTTTAACTCATCCACAGAGAACTGCTTCTCCAGTGATCTTACCCCTGAGGACCTCTTGTATCATTTTGACTCCTCTGCTACAA